GCCCAAGCCCCCAGGGCCAGGCGAGGGGAAGGGCAGAGGCTGCTGCTGGCAGCGGTCCGGGGAAATCATCCCTCCTTCCCATGCTGTCCTCCTGCGGGACCCTTCCCTGACCCACCGGGTGCGGTGCTGGAACCACCTCCAGCCCCCAAGGCACAGCTGAGTGCAGCAGCTGCAGCGGTGCTCCCACGTGTTCCACTCCACCACCTGAGCATCTCTCTGAAAACCCTGCATCGGCTCCCAGGGCTTTCTGCTTTCTGATGGAAAAAGGCTCAGGGTGTTGATGTGAGTCAACACAGAGCAAGTCATCATTCACGAGCAAGTCAAGCTAGTAATCCTGCTACAGCTCATGTCTTGTGCTGCAGAGAGCACACAGGAAACACGCTTTATAAAGAAAACAATCCTGTCTGTTCCTCCAATAGTGTGACCCTCACACAGGTTCAAGAGGAACTGCCCTGGCAGTTAAAAGCAGTAACTCCTGCAGAAATTAATCAATTAATGGAAAAAAAACCTTCATTAAAACACTGCCCAGCTCTTCCCTTCCAGAGACGTGATCCCCAGGGACCAGGAGATGATTACACAGGTAGCATGGCCAGCTGGTGTTCATGTGGGAAGCCTCAGGGGAGCATTTGTGCCCCTCCTGCTCAGGCCAGAGGAGCCACATTCGCTTGCACGTGGCAAAGAGCCACTCATGGACTTTTGCTCCCTACGGCATCCATAGGGACAGGAGCACAAAGAGCCTCCTGCTGCCCAGGGACACTAGGACCAGCCCAGCAGCCCTAGCACAAGGGACAGACATCGGGATCCTACCCTGCTCCTGCTCCAGGGCAGATATGGCACTAGGAGAAGCGAGAGAGCACCCTACAGCTGGCTGGAGAGCTGGAAGTTTGAGGTGTGGGGACTGTAGGTATGAAGAGCACAAGCATTCCAGATAGTAAAGATATTAAGCCCCATGTCCATCATCATCACTGGACATGAGACTCCTAAAGTCCCAGCCTGGTTTGTGCTGGAAGGGAGCTTACAACTCACCCAGTTCCAACCACGGACACCTTCCACTAGAGCAGGTTGCTCCAAGCCCCTGTGTCCAACCTGCCCTTGAACACTGCCAGGGATGGGGCAGCCACAGCTTCTCTGGGCACCCTGTGCCAGCGCCT